GGCCCGGGAAGGCCTGGACTGAAAGGCCGGTGTCTGGCCGCACAGACGTCTTTATCGCGCCCTAATTGACGTTTCAGAGCCGCTCTGTAACTCCGTCTGCGGGACACAAAGCTCCCCCTTTCATCTGGTCGTGCAGAGTGGACGCGCCGCCCTGCTGTCCCGCCAGTGGTGGACAAAGCGGGCTGAGGGGCCGCCCAGAGGTGCCTGGTGGGCCTTTTACCTCGGGGGGGGGGGGGGCTGTTATGCTAATCCTGCGGCCCCCTCAGGGATCCCTCCTGCATATGGATGGGGGCCCCCTGGACCGCACAGGGGACAGGAGAGGGGACGCTCTGGCACCAGGTCTGAGCACCAGTAAGAAGATCCTTCTGGAATCCAGCTGGCTATGGCAGGGGGCCCCTGGCCCTATCGGGTGCATGAGCCTCTCACACACAGGGCGTCTTTGTTTCAGCAGAGGCTCCGTATGTTTCCATAACGGGGCAGTCATAGTCCTCATGGGGCTCATTCCCACAGTGCTCCCGAGACCAGGGAATGCCAGGGATCAATGTCCCAGCTCTCACACGCAGTGGCGGCATACTAGCCCTTTCCTCTCGCCCAGGCCCAAAAACTAAGTTGTTGTTGTTTTTGTTTTGTTTCGGTTTGGGGTCACTCCCAGCAGTGCTCAGGGCTTCATCCTGGCTCTGCACTCAGAACTCATTCCTGGCAGGACTTGGGAGACCATCTGGGGTGCTGGGGATGGAATCTGGGTAGCAAGGCAAGTGCCCTCCCTGCTGTGCTGTTGCTCCGGCCCCCAGATCTTTTGAATTTGATTTGCCTGATTCATTTTTGGCTTGGAGGGAGGAACACAGACTTTAATCTTTAATTCCTGGCACTGCAGGTCCCCCCCAAAAAATGGTGCATGCATAGACACTCTCTCTCTCTCTCTCTCTCTCACACACACACACACACACACTCCCCAGTAAATCTCCGGGGTCATTGCAGGGATTTCTGGAACCGGGTGGGGAATTCAGGGTTCTTGGGGTGTAGAAATGGACAGAGGTTCAGGAGAACAACATGACTTGGAGGGTCCTGGGCCAAGGCTAGGGTGGGGTTTTAGAGGCATGGGGCAGAGAGACAGTTCAGAGGGAAGGCATTTCCCTTGCTTGGCTGATTCTGGTTCAATCCTTGGCACTGCCAGGGGTCACTGCTGAATCAGGAGAGACACAGCCTCTCCCACAGAGGAAGAGCAAAATGAAAAGAAGCGAGATCACGGAGGGTGGGTGCCCGGCACGCGGGAGACCCTGGTCGCTGACACTCCGTGGCCCCTGAGCACTTCTGGGGGAGCCCGGGGGAGCCCAGAATCTCAGGGCCTGAGCCGTGTCACGTACTCAGGGCGAGCACAAGCCTCCAGCCTGTTGGCTGCGTGTCTGGGAGGCCTCTGGGTCCCTGAGGGACCCCAAAGCTGGGTGTCTCCCCTCCCAAAGGCCGGGACCCTCTGATTTTCCCAGCCCGGAGACTGGAGGTTCCCACATTAGCACATGAAAGGCGCAAGCCGGTCCACTCGAGCAAACGCTTTGGTAGCAAATTGACATAATTATGAGGGACACTGAGGGAAGAAAGGCACCCCCACCCCACAGCCCCCCAGCGGGCGGGCGCTGCGGCTGATTAGAGACCTCAGAGCCTTTTCAAGAGCCGCGATTGGCCCCTTAATCTGATTACAATCGAGGGCTCCAGCCGCTGCGAAGGACCACGGCAAACACCCGCGAGCTGGCGTGGCGTGCGCACCCTGCCCCAGAGTGCACACACGAAGATGCACACGCGTGCACACACGAAGATGCACACGCACATGCGTGCACACACACGCACACACAGCTGTACACGCATGCACAAAGATGTACACACGCATTCACATGCGTGAAGATGTATGCAGACATAAAGACACACACACACAAACACACACGTGTACACGCACAGAGACACACACAGGCACGCACACAGGTGTGTATACACAAAGGTTATGCTCGGTGAGACACACATGCCGATACGTGTCCCAATGCAGAATGTGTGGACAGACACTCATACACATGCACACACAGATGCAGACAGGCAGGAGGTCACAAGCACACATGCCCAGCCCCAGCCCGCCCAGAGTCTCGCCGAGTCGGGGCCCACGAACGCCCCAGGCATTGTCCCAGCCTCTCCTTATGTGGCTCCAGACTTCACACACTGGGACTGAAGTGCCCCCACATGCAGGTTGCCTCTGGGTCAGGGGCCCAGGTATGCCCACCTGCAGGGCGGGGCATCCTATGTCCACAGCATTGCTCGTTCTGGCCGCCCAGATGGCCCTGGGCACAGCTCTGGCTGCTGGGTCAGGAGGCCCCCACTCCCCAGATCTGGTCTCTGGCGCCTTTCCCTATACTTGGTCCTGGCCCCCAAGAAAGCCCCCTCACAGGCAGCAGCTCAGGAGAAGGTGGGTCTGGGACAAGGCTAGACCCAGCCAGGGGGTCGGAAGGCAACTTTGTCTCGGGGGGTTCAAGCTGTGTGTGAAGCAGGTCACGGTCATGCTTGGGGCCCTCCAGGGTGCCCTGGGCTCAGACCCCGAGATGTGCTCCCCACGCGGGCACACTCGGCCTCTTGGGGAGCTTTGCCTCAGGGCCCAGAGCAGGGACACGAGGCTGGTGACCCTGCCCTGAGTCCGCGTAGGCTCTGTCCTCGGGCCTGGCTCACGGCTCTCCCGGGCTGCTGGAGGCTAGAGATCCGGGCAGGAGGGTGGAGCAGTGCCCGGGGCATCCCCAAGTCAGAGCTGTCCTGATCAAGCCCTGTTTTACCTCCCCCTGCAGCTCCTCCCCTGCACCCTTCACCCCTGCACCTCCTCCCCTGTACCCCTCATCCCTGCAGCTCCTCCCCTGCACCCCTCATCCCTGCAGCTCCTCCCCTGCACCCCTCACCCCTGCACCTCCTCCCCTGTTCCCCTCGCCCCTGTATCTCCTCCCCTCACCCCTGCACCTCCTCCCCTGTTCCCCTCACCCCTGCACCTTTCACCCCTGCTCCTCCTCCCGGCACCTGTCACCCCAGCAGCTCTTCCCCTGCACCCCTCACCTCTGCACCCTTTCCCCTCTCCTCCCCCCCTTCCATTGCTGACTGGGCTGGGCTTGCTGCATTCCTCCTCCTGGGGGGTGCTGGGGCTCAGATCAGCTGAAATCAAAGACCCCCCTCCCCATCACACCGCACCCCTGCAGAGACATGGACCCTCCTCCTTTGTCACAATGTTTTTCAATCAGCGAAGCAAACTGTCCAATCAGAGGCTGGCCCCCAGCTTCCATCTTCCCCGACGGTTAATTAACAGGCTCCTCTTGGCAGCTGCCACAAGTTCCAGAAACAGGTTGTAAAGGGTTTTTGTCTTTAGCGGCATGGGAATGAGGGGTGCGGCGGTCGGAACATGAATAGGGAGCATCTCAGTGCCTTCCTCCTGTGAGCAGGGGGGCATTCCCAGCGTGAGACAGAAACCACCTCCTCTCCCCTCACCGCTTCTTCATCTCTGGAGTATTTTTGGGGGAGTCACACCCTGCAGCGCTCAGGGCTAACTCCAGGCTCTGAGCTCAGGGATCACTCCTGGCAGGGCTCAGGGAACCATATGCGTGGTGCCAGGGCTCCAGCTGGGTCCCGGGTCAGCTGGTAGAACCTTAAACGCTCTCCTATCTTGACTCCACCAAGGACTCAGTTTCCCCTTCTCATGTCTCTACCCCTGCTAATCCCTTTGGTAGACTCTTATTCACCCTCCAAAACCCCGATCAGACGACCCCTCTGGGAAGGTACCCTGGCCTTGGCAGTCTGTCCGAGTTCAGAGCAGATGCCGGGGTCAGGCCTGTGTTCTGGCTACCCAGGGAGCTCCTGAAGGCAGGAACTGGCCACAGCTCCGCACAGGGAGAGGGTGGGCTTCACAGAGAACTGGGAGATGCAAACCACAACAACTTCCCCTTCCCCATAGAGGCAGCGGCCATGGAGAGAGGGAGTGTCAGCAGATGAGAGGACTCCCCCACCCTGCCTGAATGGACATGGCACAGCACAAGGTGGCAGGGAGGGAGTGTGGGGGGTTGCACAATTGTTTTTTTGTTTTGTTTTGTTTTGTTTTGGGGTCACACCCAGCAATGCACAGGGGTTACTCCTGGCTCACGCACTCAAGAATTACTCCTGGCAGTGCTCGGGGGACCATATGAGATGCTGGGAATCGAACCCCGGTCGGCCACATGCAAGGCAAACACCCTACCCACCGTGCTATCACTCCAGCCTCACAACGGTTTTCTTTGGAGGGGGACTGGGCCACACCCAATGGTGCTCAGGGCTGACTCCTGGCTCTGTGCTCAGGAATCACTTCTGGTGGGGCTCAGGGGACCCTATGGGGTGCCAGGGACTGAACCTGTGTGTAAGGCAAGCACTCCTCTACCTCACGGCTACCCTATAGCTGTCACCCAGGTCAGCTCGATGGGGCTCATCTTGGTGGCAGCTGATGTGCATGAGAGAGCTTGGAGTGGTGCCTGAAGCCAGCGCCACTTCCTTCCTCCTCGGCCAGAGGACTCCCCTTCAGGCTTGATGTCTTGGGGCCTTTTTTCCCTCACACCCAGCCCGGCCCTGTGGGACCATCCTCAGCCCTTCTACAAAGAACACCCAGAATCTTTATTCACAGAGCCCCCTGCCCTGTGTGGCACGGAGAGAGATGGGGGGCCGGGGACACTGTTTGAGGGACAGACAGGGCGAGAGGCAACCCAGCCACTGGCAGCAAAGTTTCACCCCAGAAAGACTCACTCCCAGGCCTCCACACCCCTCACAGCCCCACCCAAGTGCTCGACTCAGCGTCCTCCCTCAAACCCATCCCAGGCTTCTGCAGCCCAGTCAGGCACTCCCTTTGCTGCAGCGTCTCCGTCTCCTCTGCCTTCTCAGAAGCCCCCGGTGAAGCGGAAGGACGGGAAGGAGGCCTGGAAGCCGTAGATAGGGCGTGCCTGGCTCCCGGCCCCCTTAGGATCCAGGCACGATCTTCAGAGCCTGCATGGAGACAGCCAAGAATAGGAGCCAGCCGGGGTTCCCTCCCCTTCGCGGGGTGCTGTGCATACTGGATTTCCTTGAACCCCAGCACCATCTCCTCCCATGGGCCTCAGCCTTCACCTGCACCCCAACTCTCCAAGCTCTGACCTCTGGGTCCGAAGCACCTTAGTGAGAGCAGAGAGAAGGACCTGGAAGGCCCCAGTTTGCTCCCTGTGTCCCCAGGCCCCTGGAGAGTGGAGCCCTGCCCGGCTGCCTTCCTGCTGCTAACATCATTGCAGGTCCTGCCAAGGGCAGGAGAAAGGGCTCCGATGGAGAGAAGGAAAGGGTGGGCTGGGACGAGAGGACAGTGGCAGGGTGCTTGCCCGGCATTTGGTCAGGCACCCCATCTGCTCCCCCAAGGAGGAAGAAATGAAGGGAGGGAAGAAAGAGGGCAGGAATGAATGGAAGGGAGGAAGGGAGAGAGAGAAAGAAGAGAGGGCAATCATCTCCCCTCCTTTTTTTTTTTTTTTTGCTCTTTGGGTCACACCCAGTGATGCTCAGGGGTTACTCCTGTTCTCCTGGCTCTGCACTCAGGGATCATTCCTGGCGGTGCTCCAGGGGCCCTATCTATGGGATGCCAGGGATCAAACTTGGATTGGCTAAGGGCAAGGCAAACTCCCTCCATGCTGTTCTATCGCTCCGGCCGCCTCATCTCCCCTTTTAAAGAGGGAACCGAGACCTAGCCTCTGGGGTGAGTCTACACCGTGGGGTGTCTGTGCCAGGAGCAGGGGTGTGTGACGCCCAGGCCACACCCACCAGACCCAGCAGAGCCACTTGGATCCAGGCAGGAGGGATTACGTTTGCCTCCTCTTTTTTTTTTTCTGGGGAGGGGGGCAGGGCCACACCTGGGATTACTCCTGGCTCTGTGCTCAGGGGCTATTCCTGGAGGGACATGGGGCACCCTAGGGGGTGCTGGGGATCGAACTGGGTTGGCCACGTGTAAGGCAAATGCTTTCCCTGCTGTTCTATTGCTCCCATGCCGTTCACTTTACCTCCTCTTGGTGTTTTCTTGGTCCATCACTGGAGGCATCTGAACCCAGAGCTGGAACCCCACTGGGAGCCTGTTCAGGGGGTGACCCCCCGACGCCCACCCCTAGCCAAGCTCGGGCTCACCTGCTTTGCATCTGCCCCAGGGACTTAAGGTTCTGAGGGCTTGTGGGTGGGGTCCTCAGGCCCCAGAGCAGCCTCGGGCACCTGCAGAGAGAGAGAGAGAGAGAGAGAGAGAGAGAGAGAGAGAGAGAGGGAGAGAGAGGAGACAGCTTCAGATACAGCCCCAGGGGGCGGGTCCTCGGCAGAGCCTGAATAGTCCCGGTGAGCAAGGGGTGTCAAATGGTGTGTGGATGGTGCCACCTCGTGGCCGCTATGCATATTGCACTCCTGGAGCGGTCATTTCTCTTGTTCTGCAACCGCTGTCCAGGGAACCCAGCACAGCTTCCCTGGAGTAAAAGGCCTTGAGCCAAGAAGAGTCGCAAACGCATGCGGGGTGGCTGCTGTTCTATTTGGACCCACTTTGGAAAGGTATGACCATAGAACTGCATCAACCGGGGGCCAGAGCGATAGTACAGTGGTACAAGACAAGGTAAGGTGCTTGCCTTGCACGCGGCCGACAACCCACAGGGTTCCCTGAGCCCTGCCAGGAGTGACCCCTGGGCACAGGGCCAGGAGGAAGCCCTCAGTAACGCTGGGCACGGCCCAAAGATGGAAAAACAAACCCACAGAGACTGGAAGGAAAAGGAATTGACAAGTATCCGCACCAGGGTGTGGGACCGATGCCTGTTTCTATCCAGACCTTCTTCAATCATTTTATAACTTAAAAAAAGGGAACAAACAGACAAACCAACCCCGTCCTCCCATTGCCAATTTGCTCGAGCGGGCCCAGTAACGTCTCCATTTTGAGACTTGTTCTTACTGTGTTTGGCATGTTGAATACTGCTGTGCGGCGAGACACTCTTGGTAGCTTGCCCGGCTCTCTGAGAGGGGCGGAGGGATCAAACCCGGCCCGGCCGGGCGGGCTGCGTGCAAGGCAAACGCCCCACCGCTGTGCTATGGCTATCCAGTTCGTTTCAGAGGTTCACTCCTTGTGTAGAATGAACATCCGTTAAAATCACCCTGAGGGCCAGCACTCGCTGGACAGGCCACAACACAGGCTGTGTATGCAGGACGCCTGGTGGGGTCAGTAACAGCCCATGACTGGGGTTGGGAGGAGACGGAGCCGCCTGGGGGGCAGGGGTGCAGGGACCTGGGTCGTGGCCACTCACCTCCCAGTAGATGGCGTCCTCAAAGCAGTTCTCATCTGCGGCTTGTCCCCAGAAGGGCAACTTCAGAATGACCCCTTAAGGGAGTCCAAGGAGACACAGGTTAGGGGCCAGTTTCTGCTCGGCCCCCCAACCCTTCCCCTCTGCTGCTGGAACACCCCCCCCGACCCAAACTGGGTCTCAGACGCCCCACCCCAGAAGTCTCCAGCTACCCTGGCTCACCCATGATGCTTCCGCCCACCAGGGCCATGGCCAGGGACACGAAGAGGCCGGCAGCTTGGAACTTGCCCTGCGTGCTGGCTGTCCAGTTCCGTTTGGAGTCTTCAAAGTCAAAGGCGTGGACAAGCCTGAGGGGAGAGGCGGGCAGGTAAGCAAGCACCTGGGCCTGATAAACTTTGGTCTTCCCATCTGCAAAATGGGTCCATCCCAACAATCACGCCAGTCTGGAGGAAGCCGCAGGAAACAGGGGTGCGGGTGGGGACAGGGAGAGCAGAGGAGGAGGACAGAGGAGGAAGCGTCCCCCGCCCCGGCCGCGGCCATACTGACCCTTCCTCTCCATACACCTCGCTGCTGGCGCAGGCCGCTGTCACAGCACCCACGATGGCGCCAATGACGCCGGGGAGGCCGTGCAGGTTGTGGATTCCACATGTGTCCTGAATCCGCAGCCGTGACTCCAGGAAGGGCTGGAGGGAGAGACGGGACGTGCGGGGGGCTCCGAGATCTGCACGCAGACCCCATCCCTGCTGCCCCAGCCCTCTCCCCAGAAGCCTCCTGGGTTAGAGACGTGAAGCCGCCCCTGCGCCCCGCTCCGCCCTGCCCCAGCCACGCCCCTGGCCGCGCCCCCAGCCCAGCCTCCTGTAGCTCCGTGTACTCACTGTTAAGTAGACAAAGCCCAGCGTGGACACGAGGCCGCAGACGAAGCCAACGAGCAGGGAGCCATAAGGCATGAGCATCATCTCGGCCGCGGTGCCCACGGCCACCCCGCCGGCCAGCGTGGCATTCTGGACATGCACCTATGGGCATAACCGGAGCTCAGCCCCCACCCGGGCTCCCTTACCCAGTGAGGTGGCCAGACACCCCCATGAGTGGACCCAGACTCCGCTCCATCCATTCTTCTTTTTCTTTCTTTTTTTTTTGGGGGGGGGAGGAGTGGGCGTGGGGGCATCTCTGCAGGTGCTCAGGGCAGGTGCTCAGGGCTGACTCCTGGCTCTTCACTCAGGAATCACTCACGACCGTGTGGTATGCCAGGGATCAAACCCGGGTCGGCTGCGTGCAAGGCAAGCGCCCTCCCCTCTGTCCTATTGCTCCGGCTCCTTTTCCGTGTGCCCAGATCCTCACCCTGTCCCCGCATGCGTGTGAAGGACTCCACGCGGTCACCCACCCACACCTCCCCAGCTCCCGTTTGCTCTCCTCTGCCTTGGCTGCTGACACCTCATAGAACATGGTGCCTCTAAGGGATCCCAGGAGTGTGAGGGCCAGAAGGCCCCACCCAATGTCCAGTGAGGCCCCAAGATCCCCAAGAACAAAAAGTTCTAGCCTCTGCATAGGCCCATCGTCTCTCCCTGGGCCTCAGTTTCTCCATCTGCCCCCCATCCCCCTCCCACTCACCATGTCCAGCTTGCCCTTCTTGTGCAGGGTGCTGGACAGCGCCACAGAGGTCAGCACACAGGCCGCCAGGGAGCAGTAGGTGTTGATGGCCGCGCGGTGCTGGGCGTCCCCATGCTTGGACACAGCCGAGTTGAAGCTGGGCCAGTACATCCACAGGAAGAGGGTGCCTGGGGGGTGGGCAGGCATGGCCATGGAGCTCCGGAGGCAGCCACGAGCCCCCCGCCCCTCTCATGTCCCTCCGGCCTTCCTGACTCCTGGGAGTTTACCTCGATGGATCCCAGTATTCCCTAGGGTCCTCAAGCACTTCTAGATCCCCGGCACCCCATAGGGTCCCCTATTCTGCGCTCAGGGATCAGTTCTCATGGGACGCACAGGACCCTGTGGGGTGCCCGTGAGCGAACCCAGCTAGGAGCAGCCTCTGAGCACGTGGCCCCAAAACAGGAAACAGAAACAAGACCCAACATCTGACTGACTTCTTCCCCCCAGGGAGCAGACGTGGCCCCTGGGCTCTGGGAGGGTCTCGGCAGCCCCGCTCTGGCCTCTCAAAGGCACCCAGCAGACCACAGTGGGGTCAGAAACGGGGGCTGCCCTCCCGCCACCATGCGCCTCGCGATTGCCATCCTGGTTTCTCACCGATCATGGCGAAGAGATCCGAGTGGTAGACGGCGCTCTGCCTCGCTTTGCTCTGATGCAGGTTGGGGCGTTGGAGAATCCAGGTCACGGTGAGGCCAAAGTAGGCACCGAACGTGTGGATGGTCATGGAGCCTCCCGCGTCCTTCACCTGGGGAGCAGCTCTGGGTCTCAGGACCCCTGCCGCCCCTCTTGCTCTTCCTGGTCCCCTCCAAGCGGGAGCAGAGCAGCACCCGGCCTGTGTCCACCTCCTGCTCCTCCTGCCCCACCCCTGGCCAGTTCAGGCCTTATGTTCTGCCTTACAGACAGGGAAAGGTGGGGTGTCTGGGGGACCAAGTTGACCCAGGCTTGGTCCTTGATGCCCCATGTAGTCCCCCAGAACACCACCAAGAATGATCCCTGAGTGCAGAGCCAGGAGTAAGTCCTGAGCACTGCTGGGTGTGGCCCACTTGATCACTTGGTCACTTGTCGTCCCGTGGTTCATCGATTTGCTCGAGCAGGCACCAGTAACGTCTCCATTCGTCCCTGTCACGTGATAGTGCAGCCCAATGGCGTATTCGGGGCTCTTTCAGGATCAGGGGAATGAGATCCGTTATTGTTACTGTTTTTGGCATATCGAATTTGGGTCACGGGGGTGGCCCAAAACAAACAAAAATAAACTGGAGACAGCAGCAGGTGCGAGGCATTTGCCCAGGCTGACCCAAGTCCACTGGCCTGAGTGCCCAGCCCTCTCGGTCCCTCACCCCCTGCAGCTCCCACTCTCCCAGGGCCCCCCCACTGGGAGCCCCACTCACCCCCAGCAGGTTGAGGAGAATGAACTCGTTCACGGAGAAGAGAGTCACTTGGAAGAGGGTCATGAGGAGCAGCTGCACAGGGCTGACTTTGCCCAGGACCGCCCCAAAGGCCACGCAGACGGAGCCCACGCAGAAGTCGGCGTTGATGAGGCTGCAGTAAGGCAGGTGTGGAGGTGTGAAGACACGGAGGGTAGTGAACTCGGCGCGCCTCCCTCGGCCGAGGCTGGATTGGGTTCCTTGTGGGTTTGGGCCGGTGACTTAACATCCCATTGTTTGCTTCTATTTGGGGAACACACTGAGCTGTGACAGGCTCTGTGCTGAGGGGTTGCTCCTGGTGGGTCTCTGGGGGCCATCTGGGGTGCCAGGGATTGAACCCAGGCTGGCCAGGTGCAAGGCAAGCACCATCCCCATGGTACTATCTCTCCAGCCCTTGGCTCCGAGTCAGCTTCACTACCTCTGGTCTTGGCATGGAACACCTCTGGATTCCAACACATTTCTACCTGTTGCCGTTTCTTAGTCCTTGGCTTCATGGAGTGGCTTATGTGAATTCATGTTTCATTTGTGTGTTGGTTTGGCTTGTTTGGGGCCATACTCAATAGTGCTCAGGGCTTACTCCTTGCTCTGTGCTCAGGAGTCACTTCTGGCCATACCATCTGGGATGTTAGGGATCAAACCTGGGTCGGCCGTGTGCAAGGCAAACGCTCTACCCACTGTGCTATCGCTCCAGCCATTTGTGAATTCATATTTTGAACATATTTCGACTTAAGTTTTGGATCTTAGACAGCGGCTCCTGAGACCAGGCTGGTGCAGCAGACGGGACAGTAAGAACCTGTGTGCGAAGCCTGGTCTGCTCGCAACTTACCCTTCTCTAGACTGGGCTTCCCAGCAGGTCTCCCCACCACTTACCTGCTGGACCTGGATTCTCCTACTACAAGGACCACATGCAGGTAATCCAGCCTGTTCTTTCCTCGGTCCCGCTCCTTTGGCACTATGGGCCCCACCCTTGCTACCAAGCCCTGCCCATTCCCTTACACCAAAGACTCCGCCCATTTCACTGTGGCCCCGCCCCTTGCCGTTAGGCCCCACCCAACCTCACACTAAAGGCTCCACCCACTTTCACTATGGTCCCGCCTCTTGCCACCAAGCCCTGCCCATTCCCTTACACCAGAGACTCCGCCCATTTCTCTGTGGCCCCGCCCCTTGCCGTTAGGCCCCACCCAACCTCACACTAAAGGCTCCACCCACTTTCACTATGGTCCCGCCTCTTGCCACCAAGCCCTGCCCATTCCCTTACACCAAAGATTCCGCCCATTTCACTGTGGCCCCGCCCCTTGCCGTTAGGCCCCACCCAACCTCACACTAAAGGCTCCACCCACTTTCACTATGGTCCCGCCTCTTGCCACCAAGCCCTGCCCATTCCCTTACACCAGAGACTCCGCCCATTTCTCTGTGGCCCCGCCCCTTGCCGTTAGGCCCCACCCAACCTCACACTAAAGGCTCCACCCACTTTCACTATGGTCCCGCCTCTTGCCACCAAGCCCTGCCCATTCCCTTACACCAAAGACTCCGCCCATTTCTCTGTGGCCCCGCCCCTTGCCGTTAGGCCCCACCCAACCTCACACTAAAGGCTCCACCCACTTTCACTATGGTCCCGCCTCTTGCCACCAAGCCCTGCCCATTCCCTTACACCAAAGACTCCGCCCATTTCTCTGTGGCCCCGCCCCTTGCCGTTAGGCCCCACCCAACCTCACACTAAAGGCTCCACCCACTTTCACTATGGTCCCGCCTCTTGCCACCAAGCCCTGCCCATTCCCTCATACCAAAGGCTCTGCTCATTTAGTTTGGCCCCGCCCCTTGCCATCAGGCCCTGCCCACGGCCCTGCTCACTTCTCCACGCTCAGGAGGATGTGGCCGTCCTGGAAGGAGTGGAACCAGCCCTGCATGAGCAGCGCCCACTGGATACCAAAGGCCGCCAGCAGGAAGTTGAAGCCCACGGCGCTGTAGCCGTAGCGCTGCAGGAAGGTCATGAGGAAGCCAAAGCCCACGAAGATCATGACATGCACATCCTGGAAACCTGCAAGGAGAGCGCAGGGGGGTCACCGGCTTGGAGAAGACTAGCCTTGTGCCCCCCAAACCTCTTCTCCCCAGCGTGCATCTGAATCCCGGAAGGTAATGCCCTTGGGATAGCCACCTCCTGTGTCTCCTCACAAGAGCCTCCTCAGGAGGCTGGCCAGGGGCACCACTCTTGACCACTGGGTCACAATGCCAACAAAGATCTTTTTGGGGGAGGACCCACCCAAGCAGTGCTCCGGGGTTACTCCTGGCTTTGCATTCAGGAATCACTCCTGGCTGGCTTGGAGGACCATATGGGATGCTGGGGATTGAACTCGGGCTGGCCGCCTGCAAAGCAAGTGCCCTACTTGCTGTACTATCTCTGTGGTCCCTGTAAGTCTAGCAAATGTCTTGACAAACCCTCTGGGAGAGAACAGTTAACCACTCCCCCCCTCATCTAGGCCCCAGGTGGGCAGTGGGGCATTTGGAGTTGCCAGGCTGCGGATTACACTCATGGTGTAGGGTCCAGAGACCAGAGCTTCTGGGTGTGGCCCAAATCTCCCCACCACCAAAAACCAAACCAAAACAAAAAGCACAGGAGCTGAAGAGATAGTACAGGTGTTAAGGTGTTTGCTTTGTCAATCCTGATTCATCTCTGGCACCACACACCCCAAAGCACTGCCGATGTGACCCAAATCCATCCTTCTTCTCAAAAAAAAAAAAATCAGCAGTGAGGGACAGAGGGACACTGTGTCTTTAGATGCAGTCTCTGTTTTGTTTATTTGGACCACACCTGGCAGTACTCAGGGATTACTCCTGGCTCTGTGCTGGGAGAGGGGTTCAGTCCCAGCCTTGCTCCAGCATTGAACCTGGGCCTCCACAGACAAAGCGTGCACGCAGTGCTTTGAACCAGCTCTCTGGCCCTCGAAGGAGACGCTGAAAAGGACAAGCCTCATCCGGAGACCAAACCGGCTGAGATAATCCCAATGTAAACACCAGGAAAACCTCCGGCAAACACGAACCATGTTAAGCATAAGTGAGGCTGTGTTCTTCAAAGGCATCTGTCCTAAAAGACAAAGCCAGGTGGGTGCGTGCCAGGGTACGAGGGGCATACGAGGCATGCCCACTCAACTTGATCTCTAACCCAAGACTGAGGGCTGGAGCTGACCGGGGAGTGGCAGAAAGGACAGCTGAGTAAGGCGATGGCAGGGAGCCACGAGGGCCCCAGGAAATCAGGTCTCTGAAGAGTATTTCTCAGCATTTCCTGTCTCCTGGGCAGGGGCGGAGGCAGCATTTTTCTCTCTCTTTAACCCTCTCTGGAGCGCTGGTTCATTTGTGTCTCTTCAAGCATGGTGTTACCTAAAAAACTTTTGCTACATCATACTTTGCTACCTTTTCTCATTATGTATCAAGAAAGACACCCCCAAGAGCTGGGCTCTTCCGCAGGGCTGGGATGCATTGGCTGCCATCCCTAGGGGCAGCCACCAGGGGGCAACAGCACAGAGCCCGTTTCGTTCTCCTGGCCCCTAAGACTGCACCCACCTCTCCCGCACACAGAGCCCACTGCACCATCACTAAGGACTTCCCTAGAAGACGGAGGGCGGACAAGAGGATGAGGCCGTGCCTCAGAGGACTGGGAACAGGCAGGCAATGGCTCTACCAGGGACTAGCCGAAGATCTGGGGCAAATCTCTTATCTCCATTTGTTGCACCACTAATTGGACACAAAGGCCCCTGCTTGGCAGAGAAGGTCAGAGAAGCACTTTGTAGTTGAAGAGGGCAAGGCAAAGAGCACCTCGGTGCTAAGCACCCAGCCAACCCGGGTTTGATTCCAGGCACCCCATATGGTCCCTGAGCACCGCCAGGAGTGATTCTTGAGTGCAGAGCCAGGAGTAAGCCCTGAGCATTGCTAGATATAGACCCAAACCCAAACCAAACCAAAATGAAAAGAAATGCTACCATGGTCTGCACGAAAATCCAGAGAGCATTCCTCGGCAACCGCTCTGAGGGGAGCTGAGTGACTTCGCTTCCTCCCGATGGGCACCATGCCCTGTCACAGTTCCTGCCCCCTTCCCTCCGCCCGGAAGTATCTGCCAGCTTCCAGCTTCCTGGACATCCTGGGTGTTAGAGAACATCCCCACTTTACAGATGGACACAATGAGCGGCCCTATGGAGTTCGCTCACTCCATTAGGGATCGGCTGACGGGTGGTGGGAATTCCCAAGTCAACTGCTAGGCAATACTGTCCCCTGCTGGTGGGGAAGCTCATGCACGCTCAAAAGGCATTGAAGACCTCTGGCTGCAGCCTCATGAAGCCAACCTTGGCGGAGGGTGGTTTAATCCGTCTGCTCTGGGTGAGCTCCTGGAAGCGTGTCTGCCTCTCCCTGGCACTTTCCAGGAAGGTTTAGGGTTCCTGGCTCCCCCAGGTCCAAGCTCCCCATCACAGTGTGGCTTTGTGAGGAATCTTCATGTTCTCTGTAGGTGCCTTCAGCTCAGGTCTCAGGGCTGAGCTGTCTCCTGAGCCCGCAGGCTGGGCACAGCCCCGAGGCCTTCCTGAGCCCGCCCGCCTGAGCCAGCTGGAGCTGGGCTTCTCTGGAGGCTGAGGTGCCCTCGAGCCCCACTAATCCCCTGACAGGAAGGAGGTGCACACAGGTGCTGGCAGCCTGGGGCCAAGATCTGCCCCACACACAAAAAAGGGGGTGCTGTAGCGATAAGTACAGCAGGAAGGGCGTTTGCCTTGCACGCAGCCAACCCGGGTTCAATCCCTGGCATCCCATATGATCCCCTGAGCACCGCCAGTAATAATTCCTGAGTGCAGAGCCGGGAGTAACCCATGAGCACCGGGTGTGACCCAAAAAACAAATAAAAAACCCCAACAACCCTCAAAACAAACAAACAGAAAAGAGCTGTCCCCACCCCATGATTTCCTCAAGGCCTGGGAAGCTGAAGAGGGGGACTGAACCCCACCTGTGGGCATGCGCTCTCAGCTCCAGCCCAGGACCCCCACGACAAAGTGAATCTTAACGGGGACCCAGGGGAGAAATAAATGGAGGAAGAGTGGCCAAAGGATGTGGAAACTTGGGGTGTTGGTGAAAGTAGTCGCTCTGATAGGCTTGGGTGTGGTCACTACTTCCTGCCCAGGTATGGACCCCCTCCCACACTCCTCTCTGCCACCCTTACAAGTAACGTGACCAAGAGCACCCATTATTCAAGGGGACATTTAACGGCTCCTTGGTGGTCTGGTGGCCTTACTCTCTAGTCATGTTTCTTCCCGGAGCCTCCCAGCCTGCTCTCCGAGTGGGCCCGTGACCTCTCGGGAGTCCCTGATACTTCTCCCCTGCCCAGAGCCCAGAGGAGCCTGTGTCTCGCCAGCATGGGCACACCCATTCCCCCGTCACCTCCCTTCTTTTAGGCACCTTATATCTATTAATGAACCCCATGACCAGGTCCGCTTCTTGGCAGTCCCATGAAGCCGGACACGCCCCCGTCTTTCGTTTCTTCAGTGCAGGCTGCCGCCCTGGATGTGCGCTCTTCTTACAAGAGTTCTTCCTGGGGCTGCGGCAGCACAGTGCCTCACCTGTGTGGGACCTGGCCTCTGTCTGAGCACTTCCTAGGGGTCAGGGGTGCCCTGAGGGGCAGCAATTGGACTGCCTGGGCCGGGGAGACAGAGGGAAAGCAGAGTCCAGGAGCCTGGGGAGTCCCGGGATGGGGACTGGGCCACTCACTCCGCTGACCTTGGGCCAGCCCCGAGTCCCCGAATGGGGGTTCCAGAAAGCTCCCTTCACAATCACTCCGTTGTGAAGCCCTGGCCAGAGTTCCCTGTGCTCCCCAACCTGGAGGTGGGTCTTGTCCACTCTCAAGCAAGGAACAAGGGACGAGGAAGTTGGGGATCAGCAGGACTGACATTTGCCTAAGGTCACCCACTTGGACAGCAGCAGAGCCAGGACAGAAGTGAGGTCTGATGAGTTCAGAACCCTGCTCTGAGTGTTCGGTTTGGGAGCTACACCAGGCTCTGCTCAGGGCTTACTCCTGGCTCTTCTTTCAGGGATCACACCTGCTGGGTCAAGAGGACCTCCTGGGGGTGTCGGCGATCAAACCCAGGTCAGCCCCATGAAGGTAACGCCTTTCTCACTGTACTCTCTGCCAAGACCCTGCTCTTAACCAGAGTTCCAGAGTCAGAGAAGTCTCCGGGGAGGGGCTCCTTCTCCCGCTCCCAGCCAAGAGGGGGTCCACATACAAACTAGCCAGCCATCCCGGAGTCCTGGCCACAAGGGAGTTGGTTACTCCCTTTATTTTGGAGAGTGGGGGACCCGCAGTGCCTGTGTGTGCCACGTTCATCTGGCCATTTGGGGCAGGGGCTGCAGAGGAGGACCCGGTGCCTGCGGGGCGGGGGTGGGGTGGGGGTGGGGGCCAGGAGCCGGTACTTACTGGGGTACCGGTAGTAGAACTCGTTTTCCAGGTCGCTGGAAATGTTCCTCAAGCGAGTCTCCTGCGGCCAGTGCGCGTCGGCGTCGGGGTCATAGCGCACGAAGACGCCGAAGAGGACCACCAGGGCCACCTGCAGGAGCACGCAGGTGGCGGGCAGCCGCCAGCGGAGGTCTGTGTTCCAGGCCATGGGCGGTGGCGGGCGCGGGCGCCGGCAGCCCCGGATCGAGGCTTATAACAGCCGGGGGGCGGGGCGGGGCTTGCACCGGGTCCGCCCTCCAACCGGGGGTCCCCGCAGCGCCCCGCGGGAGTGGGACGGATGAGCAGGGCGGGGTCTGTGTCGGAGCAGAGGGGCCCCAACTCGTGGCTCCATCTCTCGCCGACGCCCTTTCCTCTTCCCTATCTCCTGGCTGCCCTGAGCAGAGAAAGAAAAACCCCAGATGAAAGGAAGGAATTAGCAGCTAGCACCACCCTCACCACCACCCTCTGTCTCTGCAGGTTCCAAAGTTCCACTTGGGGTGCACCCGGGATGTCAGGCTGAAAGCATCTCCCCCACCCCCACACACACCCTGCCCCAGAGAGACATCAGCCCGGTTGGATCATGCACAGAAAGATTTATTTGGGGGTGAGGTGAATCACACCCCGCTGGACTCAGGGGTTGGTTACTCCTGATTCTGTGCTCAGGTGTCATTCCTGCTGATCACACCCCACTGGGATCAGGGTTCACTCCTGGTGGAGCTCAGGGGACCATATGGGGTGCAGGGATTCAAACCTGGGTCTGCTACTTGCTGTAATCTCTCTCAGACCCCAGCAAGAGGATGTTGCCAGGAAAGCTGGTGGGAGGGTCTGGGGCACCCCCAGCCTGGCTCTGTGTCTCCCCTCCACCCCACCCTCGTAATCCACATTTGAGCTGTACCCCCAGACCTCCATTACCCTGCAGCCCGGGCGACTCTGGCCAGACTGCGGTTTGAGTTACCTGGGAGAGAACCTCCGAGCTGATGAGCAGCTGGAAGTGCGTCGACCAGGTCTTCGTGAGAGTGTCTTCGCTGGGGCGCTTCCGTGGATTGGGTGCTGCTTTTTCTGAGTCCGTGAACAGGCGGCAAAGGAGGATGCAGAACAGCCACCAGAGGCAGGGTCTGGGAAGTGGTACTGGTCATCCCAACCCCGCCCCTCCAAGCCACACATGTCCCTGCTCTTAGCAGGTCCCCATGTAGCGGGCTGTGGGGTCTGGGGAGAGGATGTGGCTGTTTTCTCCCCTATAGGACTATGATCAGCATCAACAATGAGGTCGTGGGGCTGGAGCTATAGTACAGTGGGTAGGGCATTTGTGTTGCATGTGGCCGACCCGAGTTCGACCCTCAGCATTCCAGATGGTCCCCTGAGCACCACCAGGAGTAATTCCTAAATGCAGAGTTAGCAGTAATCCCTGAGCACTGCAGGGTGTGACCCAAAAAGCAAAAAACCAAAAAAACAAAAAACAAAAAAAATAGTGAGGTTGCCCCAGCTGAACAGGCTGCTGGGGTCCCGCTGCACTGATGTGGGAAGGACACGGGGGTCTCGTGGCCAGGCTGCAGGTGGTGCTGGACTGAACTCGTGGCAGCAACAGGCTGGCAGCTCACAGAGAGGAGGCGTGGGAGCGTGGGAGCGTGAGCTAGATCAGGGAGCCGTGACCAGGACCAGCCGTGCTTTGATCCTTGATCAGCTCTGGCTCATACCCCAAAGCTATCTTCCATGAAAACGAACCTCTGGGGATGACTTTGCATCATCTGGGGAGTTCTTCGTTGTTAGGGGGCTTATGGGGGGGGGGTGGAGTATTCTGTCCACACCCAGCAGTGTTCAAGGATTGTTTCCAATTCTGTGCTCAGGAGTAGCCTTTGGTGGTGCTCGGTAGACCATATGTGGTCTCAGGAATTCAAACTGGAGTCAGCCGTATGCAAGGCAAGAGCCTTTCCTCCTGTACTCTCTCTCCAGCATTCTTTTATAGTTTTGTGTGCTTCTATTTATTTTTTGCAGTGCCTGGGATCGAATCCAGGGCCTCACATGTGCGTGCCGTTGAGTCCGACAACATGCCTCTATCTTTCTTTTTCTTTCTTTCTTTCTTTTTCTTTTTGGGTCACACCCGGCAATGATGCACAGGGGTTACTTTTGGCTCATGCACTACTCAGGAGTTACTGCTGGCGGTGTTCAGGGGACCATGTGGGATGTTGGGACTTGAACCCGGGTTGGCTGCGTGCAAGGCGTGCAGGCAAATGCTCTACCCACTGTGCTATTGCTCCAGCCCCTCTTTCTTTCTTTTAAATTTTTTTAATTTAGTTTTTGAGCCACACCTGGTGATACTCAGGGCTTACGCCTGGCTCTCTGCACTCAGTTATCACTCCCGTATGGGTTGCTGGGATTGAACCCAGGTTAGCCGTATGAGGCAAATGCCCTCCCCACTCTCCTATTACTTCGGCTCCGGATCTTTTCTTTTTTATTGGGGGGCATCCCCAGTGCTTGGGTGCCCATGTGGTGCCGGGAATGGAACTCAATGCTTCTGCGTGCAAAATCTGCACAGGAGCCCTTGGAATTCTCTCTCCAGCCCATGGCGGAACTTTCAAACAGTCTTCGCTTCCAACCCCTTTGATTCCACTGGCCTGGAGCGAGAACAAGCAACACCTTCTCTGAGACTACCCACAAGATTCCACCACAGGGCTGAAAACCACTGCCCTGCACCACCCTGCAGATGAGACTCTCAGAAATCTGCGGGCCCCTGTTCTCTGATGACATCTGAATTTTTCATCAGGATTTTACTTTATTGAGTTTTCCTTTTTGGTTTTGGGGCCACACCTGGTGGTGCTCAGGGATTGCTCCTGGTGGTGCTCAGGACCTAGAATGCCAGGGATCGAAACTGGGTGAACCCCATGCAAGGGCAACTAACTACCCGCTGTCCTATCTCTCGGGCCCTTCTCAAAATTGTAATAGCTCTCAAAGGCACCATTGCCCACATTGTCCCCAAACCTCCGAGTTGCAGATCTGAGTTACTTCACTTATGGGATGTGTCTGCCATATTGGCTAATTGGCAGAGCCGGATCTCATGGTCAAACCAATCAGCCTGATTGACTTACGATCTGTCAGAGGAAAATCAAAGTATCACTTTTCAACCTGAGCCCATGCGTGATACTCAGCCTGGTGACAACAATCTTATTCTCATGTTTGAATTCTAAACTAAAGAGACAGCGTCCAAGAGCCTTGTCACATAGCCTGAGATGCTGCCCCCTTTGTTTTGTTTCTCAGGAAGTGCCCCGACTACTCCTTGCTTGGGTCCTATGGCTGGCCCTGGATGAGACTGGCACTCGAGAAAGGGAAGCTCACTGGGAAGGGCAAGGTGGGTGGGAAAGGAAAACCAACTTGGCATTTGACCATGAAAGAAGCAGAGATGAGGATCCGGTCTTTGGTACCCAAGAGACCCGGGAGAGAGGACAGGGACTTGGGGGGGGTGATACCTGCCTTATAGGCAGGCTGCCCAACTTAGGCTCCAGATCTGCATAAGGACCCCGGGACAGCACCAGGAGTAACCCCTGAGCACAGAGCCAGGAGTAGCCCCTGAGTACTTCCATTCCTCCCCCTTTCCCCCAACAAAAAGTGTCTACAAGAGCCTATTACGAGGGCAGAGCCTAGGTGCAGCTTTCTAGAAGATAAATAGCTGGTCTTCAGAACAAGGAGACCAGTTTTTCTTCATTTTTCACAAATCAAGACCTAAAACAATGGACCAGGATTAACGGCAGCAGGAAGAAGCCGGGCTCTGAGGAAGGTGGCGAGAACCCCGCACCCAGCAGCCGTGCTGTGGGCAGACGCCCCTTTCAGGAAGGCCGGGCCAGCCAGGGCTCAGTTGGCCGTGGGGGAATGCCGGGGTGTGATCGGAACGTCAAAACTTCCTGCACTTTGTGCCACTTCTCTCTCCACCCTGGCCCTAAGAGCTTCGGAGGACTCGGGGCAGAAAGCCCAGAGCTGGGAGTTCGCAGGGTGTGACAAGCCGGCTCTAGCATGGGCCGGGCGCATCCTCCCCTGGTCCGAGTCCCCAATCACCTGGCTCGTGGTTCGGCCACTTTGCGTGGTAGGACCCTGACAGTCTCCATTCTGGTGTGCTACGGCTCCAGCCTTTATCAGAGCTCGTGAAACGTGTAGAAGAGTTCGCCTTCTAAATTTCAGTTTGTAGGGTCAGGGATGGAACCCCAACCTTCCACTTGAAGGCAAGTATAAGGGACAGGGGCCGGCCACTCATTCGCTAGTCAAGAAGAGGATATCAGGGTTCAGGAGGGGCAGGGCTGCAGACAGTGTGTGTGGGGGGGAGGGGGTTGGGATGAAGATATGGCATCAGCGTTTCAGAGGGACCCAAGCGTTTCCATCATCCATCTTTGCCCTCCGTGACCCCCATACATTGTCAAATGGCAGTCGTGAGCTGGGGCTGAGGTGTGAGCACTACCAGGAACCTTACAGAACTCTCCTCCCCAGTAAATGACCTTTCATTCCCAGGCAATGTTGCGAAAGGCAATGAAAACACCATCACCCCCCCCCCGCCCCGCCGCCTTCTCGCGGGTGGTAAGGTTCAGATGGGAGATAAGGGGCTGAGTGATGGGAGGGGGTGTCTGCCAGGCACCGGACAGACCAGTCCGTAATCTCAGCCGCTGACATCATACAGAAGCGGTGATGAGTGAGGACAGAATGGGACAGGTTGTGTGGACCCTCGGGCACCCATGGCCTGTGGGCAGGAGATCAGGACTTGGAGGAAGAACTAGGTGATTGTGGGGCTCCCTGGGGACCCGGACTGCAAGATCGTTCGCATCATCTGGGATGGGGCCGCATGCCCCGCTCCGTCTCTTTTCTCTCCCAAGGGAGCCAGCGCCTTCAGAACTTCTCAGAAGCTGCTGCCTAGGCTGTGCCAGGTTTGATCCCCCACACCACACCGTCCCTTGGACCACCACGGGGTTGGCTGCTGAGCACCCCCAGTTGTGGCTCCAGAAACCACCCGGAGGCGCTTTCTCCGTACGGGAATTCGGTGTGTCTCGGCATAGGGCGTGTGCTCCTGAACGTGGCTGTCTCTCCCCTTACAGATCCTGAATAAAGATGTTTTACTTAAGACACAAAACAAAGATGTCAGATATTAACCCAAAGTGCTTTTGGCTTCGTCAGTTGAATTGTCTCTTTCCCTCC